TACCCAAAATTATTTTGTGAAAGAATAACAAACTTGAGGAACTCCCATTTCCCTGAGGTCAAGACTTTATTCAAAGCTATAATAATCAAAACAGTATGGTATTGGCATAAATATGGACGTACAGACCACAGCTCAGAAAGAAACCCTCACATATATGGTCAATTAATTTCTGACAAGGGTGCCGAAGACCATTCAATGGGAAGAAATAATGCTGGGAAAACTGGATGTTTCCCTGCCGACGAATGAAGGTGGGCCCCTTCCCTCATACCAATATACAAAAGTTAACATGAAATGGATCAAAGACCTAAACTTTAAGAGCTGAATCTATAAAACTTTTAGAAGAAAATATAGGATCAAATCTTCATGATTCTCCCATAAGAACAGATATATAGACCAATGGAACAGAATAGAGAGCCCAGAAATGAGCCCAGAAATAAGCCCACATGTATACGGCCAAATATTTGACTATGGAACCAAGAACACACAATGGAAAAAGGATGGTCTCTTCAATAAATGGTGCTAAGAAAACTAGAAATCCACATACAAAAGAATGAAATTGGATCTCTGTCTTATACCATTCACCAAAAATTAACTCAAAATGAGTTAAAGACTTTTTTCTTTTCTTTTCCTTTTTTAAAGATTTTATTTATTTCTTTGACAGAGAGAGACACGGTGAGAGAGGGAGCACAGGCAGGGGGAGTGGGAGAGGGAGAAGCAGGCCTCCCGCTGAGCAGGGAGCCCAATGCGGGATTTGATCCCAGGACCGTGGGATCACGACCTGAGCCAAAGGCAGATGCTCAGTGACTGAGCCACCCAGGTGCCCCAAGACTTTTTTCAAACTGTGAAATGATCACCAAGATAAGCCTAGTTAACATCCATCAGCACACATAGCTACAGAATTTTTTCTTGTGATGAGAGCTTCCAGATTGCAGTACAGTGTTCCCGACTATAGTCACCAGGTTCATACATCACATCCCTAGGACTTATTTATTTTAAACTGGAAGCTTGTGCCTTGTGACCTCCTTCCCCAACGCCTACCCACCACCTCTGGCAGCCACCAATCTGTTGTATCTATGAGCTTGCGTCTTTTTTTTTTTTTTTTAATAAGATTCCACATATATGTGAGATCATACAGTATTCACCTTTCTCTGACTTATTTCACTAGAACAACGCCCTCAAGACCCAGCCATGCTGTTGCAAGATTTTCTTCTTTCTAAAGGGATGAGTCCTATTCCATGGCACAGAGGAATAGGAGGTGTTGGTCAAAGGGTACACTTGTAGTTATAAGACAGGCAAGTTCTGATGATTCGGTGCCCAGCGTGGTGACCACAATGAACAATACTGTGTCATGTACTTGCAAGCTGCTAAGAGAGTAACTCTTCAGGGCTTTTATCACACACCAAAACAAGAAAACTCTGTGAGGCGATGGATGTGCCAGCAAACCTCACTGTGGCGATCACTTCGCAATACACACGTATGTGAAATCATCATGTCGTACACCACCGCAATCTCAGATATTATATCTCAAACATTTTCTTTAACTAACTTTTTAACAGTTCAACTTATTAAAATTAAGTGTTTATGTTCATCAAAATACACCAGTAAGAGTAAAAAGCTGCAGACTGGAAGAAGGTTCAGAATGTCTGAAGATATTCCCACAAGTCTATAATAAAAAGACAAACAAACAATCCAATAAAAATGAGCACCTGTCTTAAAGAGACATTTCACAAAGGAGGATTTCCAATGACCAATGTGCACCAGTAAGTGAGAAGGTGCTCCTCAGAATTAGTCATCATCTTAGAAAGTCTTAAATATAATCTCTATGAAAAATCAGCCTTGATAAATGTGCGGTCAAAATGTCTCCTTACTACTTTTTTCCCTGCTTGATCTATTGATGATTGAGAGGAACACCTATTCTGAACTTGGTCAGCCATCCAGTTAAAAAATTATTCAGACTTGGTCACTCCTCTGCTTAAACCATCCCATATTTTTCCATTTCTTTCCATTCAAAGCCTCCTCAGATCCCAAGCCCCACCCCGACTCCTCTCCCGTTGCCTTCCTGCTGCTCTCTCTGTTCCAGCCACTAGCCAGTCCCTCTACCTGAAACGTTCCTCCCCACACATGGCTTGTTCCCTTGCCTTCTTCAGACCTTGGCTCAGATGTCACCTTCACAAACGGGCCTGCCCTAACCACTGTCCTGAGGTGACAACTGCACTTTCCCCCACATATTAAGGGCTACTCTATATCTGTCTATAAATTGAATACACTATAGTCATGATTTTATATTTCTAAGATTTAAAACTGTAGCTTCCCTTGCAGAAGGATGGTAGATTCTGTTTACAACTGAACAGAAACAGCATCCGTATTATAAAGAAAATGCACCAGCGTCTTACACAGAAGCAGGAATCCCTTCCAGGGCCATCAGGGCCACCAGAGGCGCAGGGGCCCAGAGACAGAGCCGAGTCTAGACCTGCTTTGAGACACCACATGCTCATGATGCGGAGGACAGCAGAGCTTGAGAGACTTGGCTCATCACAGTGGGCAGTGAACAAGTGACTGTCCCTACACTCCTGTCCCAGAAGCTTGTGAAGTATCACAGTGGCCAGACCGCTCTCAGGAGGCCCCTTCCACCAGGCATCCAGCCCGTTCCCTCCTGGCCTCAGGGGAACAAGGCAGGTGACAGGGGTCAGACTGTGCAGTTTCTGCTCACTAATCTCCCCTATTTGACTCCAGTCTGTGCTCACACCATGTGACCCTAGAAGGTGTGCATCTCTGCCCTCTTTGCATAATGGTGGACGGTGCTCAAGGGGGAAAATGACATCCTATCACCCGAAAAAGGCAATGCGTCTGGAGCTAACCATTCTGTTTGTGAACAAGGATTTGTATTTACTCATTTTCTTCATCAGGTCAAACTAGTGGCAGATGTGAAGATAAAACTAAGACCCACTGAAGACCTACCATGTGTCAAACCTTGGGCTAGTCACTTAGAAAGCACTGTGAGGAAAGCCTTGTTACTCTTCTCCCACCAAAAATGGAGGCCAGAAGCTTCAGTGGTTGAGTCAGGGGCAAACCATGTCTGCAGCTAACCTCTCTTAAAGAGTGGAGAAGGAAAGGCCACATTTGTTATTAGATGGAGGGAGCATCTGGCTCCAAAGAAATCCTAAAGAAAGGTAAAGCCCAAGGGGCACCTGGGTGGCTCAGTTGGTGAAGCATCTGTCTTCAGCTCAGGTCATGATCCCAGGACCCTGGGATCGAGTCCTGCATGGGGCTCCCTGCTCAGCGGGGAGCCTGCTTCTCCCTCTGCCTCTCCCCTGCTTGTGCTTTCTTTCTCTCAAATAAATAAAAAATCTTCTAAAAAAACCACATACGCACAAAAGAAAGGCAAGGCCCAAAATAGCCTGAAGCACCCCTGTCCCCAAGGGGAAGATGACTCCTTGAGCTGCAGAAGGAGAAGCTACAGTGGGAGCATGGATTCCTCTCAGGACTGGTCAGCAATGCCCTGAGCATACAGAAAACATGAAGAAAATGTTTGGAGGACTGGCAGGGTCTCCAAGTGACATGGTTGTAAGTGCGCACACAGAGACGGGCTCTTCCTGATCACCAAGAGCAGGGTCTGACCCTGGTAGTACTCAGCACTTGTAGAGTTAAGGCCTCTTAAAGTGGACCCAGGCTAGACAACCATGAGCTGGCCAGGTCAGAGCTTGTTAGGGGAGAACATCTTGCAGTAGTAGCCGACTCAGGAAGGGGGTATGTGCAGGCGTGAAGGCAGTGAGAGAGCTAGGTCATGAGGTCCACAGAGGCTGAGGGGCCAGAAACACAGATACAAAGAAGTGGAATCAAGAGGCATGAACGTGCTGCGTGAGAAAGGAGAGCCCCTCAGAGAAGCCGGGTCTTCCAGACCCCCTCAGAGAAGCCACATCTTCCAGACGCTGTGGCTGTAGAGGCCAATGTTGCGTCCTCCTGGAAGTCCTGCTGATCTCCTGGACTCCTACTTTTTGTTGTCCTAAGTGAGGCTTGTAAGAAACCAGCACTGAACCTGGAGCTGGGCAGTGCTGAAGCAGGCAGGCCACCTTTGGCCTCACACTGAGCTATGCTCTCTGAAGCCCTCGCCCGCTCTTCATCTTCCTGCCATTTCTGCTCCCTGTTTGCTGGGAAACACTACACTTGGCTGGCACATAGTGGGTGTTCCTTACTGTGCAATCTCCCCAAACTACAACACTCACCCTCATTTTCATTGTACGCACACATTGCTGAGGATGGTCAAAGCGACAGTGGAACCCTAACCCAGATGAGCACTGTGTGCACACGGGGTGGGGTGGAGAGAGTGTGAACCCACAAAGACGGCCTCAGACCCCACAAAGCCCCTGGAGCCAACAATGAAGCTTGGAGACAAGGCACATCTGGAGCAACAGGAGACAGGACTCAAGATGTCTGGTCTACCCTCCTGCGGTGAAGGCAGAAAGGGACATGTAGGATCTGCCAGCACTGCAGAGCCCCCCTCAACCTTCCAGGTGTGGAGCCCCAAACTGTGCACATGGGCAGTGGGGTCAGTTAAGAGTCAGCCAATCTCCAGGCTGACCACAGTCAGTCCTCATTTCCTTCCATTCTGCTTCATCTTGGGGAGCTCCTCCAAGAAGGCATCTGCACCACCTCTAATCAATCTGTCATTGGTCTCCATTCCCACTTGCAGACTCTGCCCACACAGAACATGCAGGGTCCCTTAGCTATCACCGCCTCATCCTGCACTGCTACAGTAGTCTCCTGGGTAACCCGTCCCATATCTGCTGCCCAGGCTCCTGGAGAGAGCTCTATTTACTCAGTCCTTATGACTTGCTCCCCCTTCTCCAACACACACAGCTGCTATGATCCCCCTTGTTCCCCGCCACACACCTAGGTTCCAGCCAAGACTACTCCCTTATCAACCCTGTAGAAGTCATGCTCCTCTGTGCCAGCCCGACCTGCTGTGGGCCTGGTCCTTCTTCCCTCATCTCCCAACATACTTGGACTTGCCCACAGCGCTGTCCCCTAGGCAGATGATCTTCACGTTTTCATCAGCATCATATTTGTCTTGGTTGAGCTCACAGGGTTTGGCTTTGTCACTGGCCATTGGCTCCTGGCTGTTCAGCCTCGGGGAGGTAAGTGGGTGTGGAGACTTGTCGTTGTCTGGGAAGATCAAGAGGAGACTACTGTTAAAGAGATGAGAAGTTTCCTCAACCAAATCTACATTTTCTTCTTCCTGGACAGGAGAGAGAAGCTGATGAGATAAAGGGCCAAGGACACATGTCCATCCTTCTCTATTCACTACCAACCTGGGTGCCACTTGCTGAACTGTGGAGGTGTACTCTTGTCCCTATCCAAATCCTCTTTGGGTGGTTTACTCTGTGTCATGTCTTTACTGTAGCTCTCTGGTCAGGGCCACACCTCCCACTCCCACCTGGAAAGACTATTTCACAAGTTGCACATGAGCAAACTTTCTCACCGGTAAAACTGGACCAACCCCCCCCCAAAAAAATACAAAAACCCAATCACTGTGAGACAGAGACAGTGCTCTGCAGGCCTAAGCTCTTACCACTGAATGACAGATTACACAGCCAAAAACATCTAATGTGCATTCCTGATCACCTACCTCAAGCCTCCACCTCCCCTTCATTTTTCATCCTGCTGCAATCAATAGCTCCTCTTTCTCTCTCAGTGTGGGCATTCTCCAGACCCTCTTTTCTAGGGTTACTTCAGTCTCTGCTAGTTTTAAGTATCTCCTAACTATGGATGGCGCCAGACCTGTACCTCCACTGAGACTGCTTCCCTTGGCGGCAGACTCAGGCAGCTGTCCACCAGACTTGGACTAGGAGGTTCTGCCACACAGGGACAAATAACATGTAAAAAAACCAAATACTTAATTCTTGCCCACCCAAACATCAGTCCTTACATTCCTCCTCTGTCCAAGACATCACGCAATGCCAACACCTAGGTGTGACATCACCTCTAGCTCTGTTCTTCTCTCCTCACTGCCAAAGACAACTTTTCACCCTGTACTAAGAGTGTGCAATACACAGATTCTGAGCCAGTGAGGCACACAGAAATGATGCCTTCAGGCTCCCACTGAGCAGGCACCATTCGCAGACCTTGTGCTGGGTTCAGAGGAAAGGACACGATGCTGGCCGAGCCTACTGCGGCAAGAGCTAGGACCGCGTGTGCGCACCGTCGGGGTGGGAAATGCAAGCAGGACCCTGGCTGTACCACCGCTCAGGCAGGGACTGAGCCCGGTTTACCCAGGTGCCCTCACCTGGGAAGTGACATGCTTGGTGAGCATAGCGAGGGGCTGTCCCTTCCACGACCCCCCGGAGCAGAGTGACCTGTTCCAAAGCCAAACCCAGACCTATAACTCCAGGCTCCACGATCTTCAACGGCTGTCTCTGTCCTCGCCGCCGCCCCCCCCCCCCCGCCGGCACCGCTGCGGGAACCCACTGACCCGTCCTTCTCCCGCCCAGGGCCCAAATACGGCGGATCCTGAGGCTGGGCCGTCACCTGCTGGAAACGAGGTACGACCCCGGACTCCCCAGGTGGCCAGCTGTTCCCCAGTGGGCGCCCTTCTCCCGACCCCGCCCCGACCCCATCCCAGCCCGGCTCCGCCCCGATCTCGCCTCGGACCCCACCCGCCAGCCCGGTCTCCCCTCTGCGCGGTTCGCCGCTTCCGCCTCGCTCCGCGTCTTCGCAGCTGCTACGCAACCGCGCGAGGACCCGGAGCAGGGCTGCCCGGCCCGAGGCCTGAAGGACCCCCCTTCGCTGCGCGGGCTGGCTAGCGCGGTGCCGGGACGGAGCGCGGCAGGTGCGCGCGCTTGCGCCGGGCGGTCCGGCATGCGGAGAGTGCGTGGCGGGCCTCCCGCCAGGCTGCCGCGCAAGGGGGGCGCGCGTCGATGCGGCTGGGTTGTGTTTTCCTTGTTGGCGTGGAAATTTGTGGCAAAGTTGTGTGGGGCTTTTTTGTTTCTTTACCAAATATTTAGAAATCCTGTACTGGCCTCAATTTTCAGTGGCTTTACGAAGCAGATCAAAAAGTATACCTGAGGGGCGCCCGGGGGGCTCAGTCGGTGAAGCGTCTGCCTTCGGCTCCGGTCCTGGTCCCGGGGTCCTGAGATCGAGCCCCGCATCCGGCCCCTGCTCCGCGGGGAGTCTGCTTCTCCCTCTCCCATTCCCCCTGCTTGTGCTCCCTCTCTCGCTGTCTCTCTCCGTCCAATGAATAAACAAAACCTTAAAAAAAGAGTAAACATGAAAAGTGTAAAAACAAACTTGCATTTGGTTTGTTTGAATCACTTGCTGCTGATTATGTCCTCATCAAGGACGTGCAAGTCCTGGGCTGCCTTACTTTGT